TGAATGGAGTATTTGCCCCCCCCCCTTTTTTTCATTTTAACGACTATCTAAATCATCTGAGTGACTAATTTTCAATACTGAAAATCCTGACCTTCTATTTGAATGGATTCGCTTGCGATTGTTTCTTGTATTTAGGTATATGAATATGTTATTTTTTTTTTACTTTATTTATGCTCCTTTGAGTTAAGTGGTGTACCATAGGCATGCGTGCTAGAGGTTTCCGACCCCTGGTTTAAACCAATAACCACGGAATCACAGGTTATAGTAGTGGGATTTGGAACTTACAATTTTTCTTCAAGAGTTTCTTTTATTGAATTTATGCAACAGTAAGCAACCGATTTTTTTTCTCTTGATAAGTTCGTGAAAATGGAAAAGAAGTAAAGTAATACACACATGTAAACATATTTATTAAGAAGAATACATAAATAAATAAACGTAATTATGCAACTGAACAATAAATAGTTAAACATACATTGTTTTTTTAGCTTATACTATAAGCTAAAATGCAATATGTTTTTCTATGCTGCCTGTGGAATCTTTGGAGCCGTGATAGTTAAGACGCCATCAGATGACACTGCGGAAGTCACGGCCTCCATAGCCTCTTTGCCTGGGAAGTTGAAACGTCGACAGACGATGGTAGACGATTGTTCAATTTTAATTAATATCGTCGAAAAATAATCATGGGTGTATAGGTCACAACTGGAAGTGGTGAACTCTCTTTACATTTGTACTTTAATTGTTTCTTCAAGTTTCGAGGAACACACTATGCGACAGTAAACAATCCAAAAAGTAAACCAAAAGAAATTTATTAAAAAAAAAAAAGATTTAAAATAACAAATTATCACTTTAACATACAAATATATTTATGTACACACACGTACACATACACACGCGTCCGCGCTCGTACACACACACACACACACACACATATGTATATATACATATCTATATATATCACAGGTCACAACGCAAAAATAGTGAACCCTCTTTGCATTTGGTACTTACGTTTTTCTTCAAGAATTTCGAAGTACCATCTATTATGTAATTTATGCGACAGTCGATATTTATTATTATTATTTCGCGAGAAAGGAAGGCAGGTAAAGTCATACACATGTAAACAACAAAAGTTTATTTTAAACAGAGCAAATAAATAAATGATAAAAAAATTGCTACTTAAAAATGAATTGTCTTTAAGATTAGATTACAATTTTCATCTAATGAAATATGCTTTTCTATGCTGCCTGTGGAATCTTCGGAGCCATGACAGTCAATACACCATCGGAAGGTGGACATTGGGCACACATCCATCTCGCGCCACATAAAAGCATCAGTAGCCGCCTCTTGCTAGATATAACAGAAACAACACTCCGTTTAGATGCAGGATTATGGAATGCTTGGCAACATCTTGATTTGAAATTTACTGAAACTTAGAAATTTCAACTTAAAAATTAAGGTGAATACATATAATACAATAATTTATACTGAAATGCACACATTCATACATATATATGCATATATACTCACGCGCAGATATGTGTATATATGTAAATGTATATGTGTGTGTGTTACACGCTAATACGAACATACGCACTCATTGAAAGTCACACGCACAGACACATATATAAATATATATATATGTGTGTGTGTTTATGCGTGTGGGAATAATATAAGTGTATGTGGATATATATGTGTGTGTGTGTGTGTTTATATAAATATACATATATACATATATTTGGGTGTTTTTTGTGTATACATATATATATATATATGTGTGTGTGTGTGTAATTGTATACATGTTGTATGCATACATACAGCATATATATACATATATATGCATATATACACATATTTGTATATGTATGTATATATATATATTTATATATATGAATATTATATCTATATAAACACACACACACACATATATATATACACATATGCATGTATATGAATACATATATATACTGTATATTCTATTTCAAGTATTGCCTGCAAAATCGAAAGCTACCATGTAGACTTTGCCTGGGTAATCAAAACTATCCATTGATTTATTGTTCCTATGGTTCTAACAACGGATCTTGTAACGTTCTTTATCGTGTATGTTTGAACCTTCTTCATTCAGGTCACGTGAAGCACTCGGTAGACGATTGTGCATAGGCAGAGGTTGTCAACCCCTGTTTAAACCATTAACCATGGAAGCACAGGTTGTTTGAAAAAAATTGTTATGAAGTACATGCAACAGTAAGCAACCGATTATATATATATATATAAGTTCGCAAAAATGTGTATATATATTGAAGATAAGTAAAGTAATATACATATGTAAGCAAATTATTTATTTAAAAAAAAATCAAAAATTAAATAAATAAACTTCATTTCTACATTATGCAGCTCAGCAATAAACATTCAAACATACATTGTCTTTAAGTTTATACTATAATTTCAGCCAATGCAATATGTTTTCATATGCTGCCTGTGGAATCTTCGGAGCCGTGATAGTCAAGACGCCATCGGAAGACATTGCGGAAGTCACGGCCTTCATATCCACTTTGCCTGGGAAACTGAAACGTCGACAGAAGCTTTTCATGGTCTTAATGTCGCCCTCTTCCTTATCCACTCGACCTTCCACCACCACCTGATTGTCTTCCACTCTAACCTTTACGTCCCCACTCTTGAAGTCATGAACATCCAGCACAACCTGTATATAGAATCAATGAAGAGTATTTGTTTTCCCTGGTTTTCTTTTATTTTCATTTTAATGAATATCTAAATAATCTGTTTGCGTTACCAATATAATTTTATTTGTTTTCTTTTTTGTGATATTATTGTCGTGTATATGAATGTTTGAATTAGTGTTTTTACGATCCAAATTGTTTTTAGATACTAAAACTAACCTTGTGATTCTGGTCGTCTTCGCTGAAGACCATGACTTGGTTCTCTTGCTGCAAATTGCGCTCTCTTACACGTCTGTAGCTACTCATCAGATCACTCACAGATTTCCCTTCTTCCCATGTATCCAGGATTTGGTCGATGGCTGTCTCAAAGTGCTTCCGAATATCCTCGAAGAAAGAATCATGGAAGAAAAGTCCTTTCTCAGCGATGGGGAGAAGTGAATCCTCTTTGCAGTTGGGAGATTCTGGTTTCTGTTCATTAAGGGTGCTAGTATTTTTGTTCTCCATATTTCTCACTTTTATTACTTTAACAAGGTAGAGTACGTCTCGTGGATATGTAGATATAGCTACAGATTGCTCTATTCTCTCGAAGAATGTTGTTTATATTGTGTCTAGCAAGAGGCGGCTGCTGATGCTTTTATGTGGCGCGAGTTGGGTGTGCGCCCACTTTCTACCTCCATCTGGACGCGTCACGGAATATTTGGCAACAACTTCATTTGGATTTTCTTGAAACTTCTAGCTCTCAATTTAAAATGAATGAATATATATATATACAAATACCCACACATATGCACTATCATGCTTTGTGTGTGTGTGTGAGGACAATGTATGTGTACATATACTGTATGTTTATTTGTATCTGTATATACCTACATTTATATGTTTAAAGGGACTATATATGTGCACACACATGTGATTGTGTGTATATGTATATGAATGTCAATACATATCTATATATATGTGTGTGTGTGTGTGTGAGTGTACTTATACACACATATATGTTTGCTTATATTTATATACACAAACCCACATATATACAGTTGCGTGTTTAACACACATATATGTATATATTATATATATGTGTGTGTGTGTGTATATGTAATATACACATATGTTTGTGTCTGTGTATGTGTCTATATAAATACATGTAAACATATACATAAATGTATGTATATAGACATGTATATATTATATATATAATATATACACAGATGTGTATGTGTGTGCGTATACATATACATACATATATGTGTATATATATAGATGTATGTCTATTTACTTATATTTACATATATATGTACTTTGTATATCGGCATGTGCCCAGATCATTTAATATATTCCTTGCAAAATTAATAGCTTCCATGTACACTTTGCCTCGGAAATATACTAAAATAGTAATTTGATTAATTGCTCATACAAACCTGACAACTAATCCTTTAACACGTTATCATTTGTTATTTCTTAAGGTCACTCAGAGGGATGTAAGTTTCCTCTTGCACAAAGCACTTGGTAGACGATTGTTCCATTTTGATTAATATCGTAGAAAAATAATCACAGAAACACAGGTCACAGCAATCGGAAGAAGTGAACTCTCTTTGCATTTGGTACTTAGTATCTGTTATGAAACCCATGCAACAATAACAATCTGAAAAGGATGACAAACGAGTTTATTTCCTATTATTCAAAATAACAATACACGATCACTTTAGTATTCACTGCATTTAGGATTAGATTATAATTTCAGCTAACAATAATATATATATACATATATAATCATTTATTTATTTATATGTATATGTATATATGTATGCATTATAGGTACATATGTGTATATATGCATGTGTATATATGTATGTGTATATATGCATGTGTGTATATGTGTGTGTGTATCTACATATATATAACTGTGTGAAAAGACTACATGCATATACATTTGTGTATATGTATATATGTAATTAAAAATATACATATATTTCCTTATCATGTCAAGTATTTACTGCATGAGTAATTGACAAAAACTATCCACTGATTTATTTGTTCATGTGATCCTAACAACTAACCTGTAATGCTCCTAAAAGGGTTGAAGGGTGTGTCTTGTACATGAAGCGCTCGGTAGACCAATATTAGTTTTTATTAGTTTTTCGAAAAAGAATCGTGGAAGCACAGGTCACAAATAGTGAACCCTCTTTGCATTTGGCACTTGCGCCTTTTCTTCAGGAGTTTCGAAGAACCCTCTGTTATGCAATTTATGCGACAGTCGATTTTCTTTTCTTTATCATTTCGATGAGTTCGCGAAAAAGGAAGGTAAATGAAGTCATACACACATGTAAACAAGTGTAATTTATTTGAAAAATAGCAAAAGCTTCATTCATTTTAACATTATCCTAAAGAAAAATATATTGTTAAACGTATATTTAAAATTAGATTACAATTGATAATGGAATATGATTTCCTATGCTGCCTGTGGAATCTTAGGAGCCGTGACAGTTAAGACGCCATCGGAAGACGTTGCGGAAGTCACGGCCTCCATGTTCACTTTGCCTGGGAAGTTGAAACGTCGATAGAAGCTTTTCATGGACTTGAAGTCGTCCTCTTCCTTTTCCACTCGACCCTCCACCACCACCTGATTGTTTTCCACTCTAACCTTAACATCTCCACTCTTGAAGTCATGAACATCCAGTACAACCTGTATATAGAATCAATTAAGAGTATTTATTTTTCTTATGTTTTCCTTATATATAAATAATGTTTCCGTGACCTAGATCATTTCTGAAAAAAATCTTCATTTTTTTAGTTTTTTAACGATTTCTTCTTTTGTGTATATGAATATTTGCGATCCACGTGATTTTTAGATGGTGAAACTAACCTTGTGATTCTGGTCGTCTTCGCTGAAGGCCATGACTTGGTTCTCTTGCTGCAAATTGCGCTCTCTTACACGTCTGTAGCTACTCATCAGATCACTCACGGATTTGCCTTCTCCCCACGTATCAAGGATTTGGTCGATAGCTGTCTCAAAGTGCTTCCGAATATCCTCGAAGAAAGAATCATGGAAGAAAAGTCCCTTCTCAACGATGGGGAGAAGTGAATCCTCTTTGCATTTAGATTCTTCCGATTTCTGTTCAGGAAGGGTGGTAGCATTTTTGTTCTCCATTTTTCTCTAGCGTAAGTCTCGTGGAAATTTAGATAAAGCTGAAGCTTGCTCTGTTCTCTCACGGAGTGTTGTTTCTGTAGTGTCTACCAGGAGGCGGCTGCTGCTGCTTTTATGTGGCGCGAGTTGGAAGTGTGCCCAATGTCCACCTTCGTTTGGTCACATGATTATGGCATGCTTGGCAACATCTTGATTTGAATTTTTTTGAAACTTCCAGATTTTAACATAGTAATTAAGATGAGTGCATATGATAAAAACCATGCGGTAAATGTTTCAATACTATTTATCTGTCATTACGAATATTCCATTACTACATCGACATCATTTATATGCAGACATATGCACATATACATACGTATGTGTATATATATATATTTACGCACAGTCACACGCACACATATGAATATATATATCTATATATGTATGTATATACATATATATACACATATATATGCACAACCACGTGCACTTATATTATCCTTACACACACTCATACACACACATATATGTATGTATATATATTGTGTGTGTATATATGTATGTATATATGCAATACATGTGTATGTGTTTATATTCTCTTTCAAGTATTACCTGCAATATCGACAGCTACCATGTACACTTTGCCTGGGTAATTTACAAAGACTATCCATTGTCTTTTTGTTCCTGTTATCCTAACAACGGTCCCCGTATAATATTTTAACGTGCATGCTTAAACCTTAATGTGTCACTCAATTCACGTGAAGCGCAAGGTCCATGATGACTGCAATCATCGGATACCAAGCTTTACTTTTTCGTAGTATCCGTGGCGAAAATAACTCGCTCACGGTGGCTAGTCACTGAAGCAGCAGCGCAGCGTGATGGAGGCTTCCCAAGCACTTGGATATGCTTCATACTCGTCGACATCTCATTGTACCCTTAAACTATATCACGGCTACGAAATATTTTCGTTTTGATTCACTGTATCATAGAAAAAATATTTATAAACATACGAAAATTCAAACCTTGATAAATGTAACGAGATGCGATACACATTCTCTCTCTCTCTCTCTCATTTTGTTTGACTTTATATCTTTGCTCCTTCGAGTCACGTGGTGTGCCATAGAAAGCCCTCTGCGTGCCAAGTCTGCCTCGGGAGCAAAAGGTTGCTGATCCCTGGTTTAAACCATTAACCATGGAAGCACAAGTTACACTCGTTAGAAGTGAATCCTCTTTGCATTTGGAATGCATTTTTTTCTTCATGAGTTTCTCCATCTGTTATGAAATTTATGTAACAGTAAGCAACCGATGGTATTTTTTCGATTATTTTCACGAAGATAAGTAAAGTAATATACAAATGTAAAATACGGTTTATTAAAAATAATACATAAATAAATGAACTTCATTTCTACAGTCTGCAAATCAACAATAAATACACATACATTATATTTTAACCTATATCGTAATTTTAGCTCATTAAATATTTTTCTATGCTGCCTGTGGAATCTTCGGAGCCGTGATAGTCAAGACGCCATCAGAAGACATTGCAGAAGTCACGGCCTCCATAGCCACTTTGCCTGGGAAGTTGAAACGTCGATAGAAGCTTTTCATGGACTTGAAGTCGTCGTCTTCCTTTTCCACTCGACCTTCCACCACCACCTGATTGTCTTCCACTCTAACCTTAACGTCTCCACTCTTGAAGTCATGAACATCCAGTACAACCTGTATATAGAATCAATGAAGAGTATTGGTTTCCCCTTGTTTTTCTTTTACTTTTTCATTTTAATGAATATCTAAATAACCTGTTTGCGTGACTTATCTCATTTCTCAATTTGAGTTTTTCTTTTTTTAACGATTGTTTCTTCTATTCATTCATATGATTATTAGATTTGGTGTTTTTGCGTTCGGCATTGTTTTTAGATACTAAAACTAACCTTGTGATTCTGGTCGTCTTCGCTGAAGGCCATGACTTGGTTCTCTTGTTGCAAATTGCGCTCTTTTACACGTCTGTAGCTACTCATCAGATCACTCACGGACCTGGCTTCTCCCCACGTATCCAGGATTTGGTCGATGGCTGTCTCAAAGTGCTTCCGAATATCCTCGAAGAAAGAATCATGGAAGAAAAGTCCCTTCTCAACGATGGGGAGAAGTGAATCCTCTTTGGGAGATTCTGGTTTCTGTTCATTATGAGTGCTAGTATTTTTGTTCTCCATATATCTCTTGGTAATGTAGATAAAGCTATTGCTTGCTCTGTTCTCTCAAGGAGTCTTGTTTATATTGTGTCTAGCAAGAGGCGGCTGCTGCTGCTTTTATGTGGCGCGAGTTGGGTGTGCGCCCACTTTCCACCTCCATCTGGACGCGTCACGGAATACTTGGCAATAACTTCTTATGAAACTTCTTGAAACTTCTAGCATGAATGCATACGATACAACCATACGGTAAAAGCTTTATTACTAACTATACGTTTTTTATATTGATATATTCCATTATTTATATACAGACACAAATATATATATATATTATATATACACGGAAACACACATACATGTGTGTATATATATATATTATATACAAATACGCACACGCACAAACATACTTTGTGTGTGTGTGTGTGTGTAAATTATTAGTTTCCATGTACACTTTGCCTCGGAAATATACAAAAAACAGTAATTTGATTAATTGCTCATATAAACTTGACAACTACACTGTAATACGTTATCATTTGTTATTTCTTAAAGGGTCACTCAGAGGGATGCATTCCTTTTGTACAAAGCGCTTGGCAGACGATTGTTCCATTTTGATTAATATCATTGAAGAATAATAATAGAATCACAGGTCACAGCAATAGGAAGAAGTGAATCCTCTTTGCATTTAGTACTTTTTCTGAATGTTTCAAAGAGACTATCTATAGTGAAAGCCATGCAACAATAACAAAAGGAAAAGGAAGACAAACGATTTTTTTCCTATTTTCTAAAATAATAATAAACAGTCGTTTTAGCATTCATTGTCTTTAAGATTTGATTATAATTTCAGCAAATGAAATGTTTTCTTATGCAGCTTGTGGAATCATCTATATGGCCATCCTATGTATAGACACACACACACTATAATATACATGTGTACAGATAATTATAAGTGCAAACACACACGCGCGCACACACACATATATATATACATTTATTTATTTATATGTATATGTATATATGTATGTATTATACATGCATATGCATATATATGTATGTGTGTATATGTATATGTGTGTGTGTATCTACGTATATATAACTGCGAAAAGACAATATGTATATACATTTGTGTATATGTATATAATATATGTAATTATAACACGCATATATTTCCTTATACATGTCAAGTATTTCCTGCATGGGTAATTGACAAAACCTATCCAATGATTTATTTGTTCATGTGATCCCAACAACTAACCTGTAATGCTTTTAAACGAAAATAACTAATCCTAAAAGGGTTAATCAGGGTTATGTCTTAATGCTGTACATAAAGCGCTCGGTAGACCAATATTAGTTTTTACTTGTCTTTCGAAAAAGAATCATGGAAGCACTGGTCACAAATAGTGAACCCTCTTTGCATTTGGCACTTGCGCCTTTTCTTCATGAGTTTCAAAGAATCCTCACTTTATGTAATTTATGCGACAGTCGATTTTTTTTTTTTTTTTTTTAATCATTTCGATAAGTTCGCGAAAAAGGAAGGCAAGTAAAGTCATACACACATGTAAACAATTATAATTTATTTTAAAAATAGCAAAAGCTTTACTCATTTTAACATTATCCTAAAGAAAAATATATTGTTACTTAAACGTACATTTAAAATTAGATTACAATTTCAAATAATGGAATATGATTTCCTATACTGCCTGTTGTGGAAGACAATCAGGTGGTGGTGGAAGGTCGAGTGGAAAAGGAAGACGACGACTTCAAGTCCATGAAAAGCTTCTATCGACGTTTCAACTTCCCAGGCAAAGTGGCTATGGAGGGCGTGACTTCTGCAATGTCTTCTGATGGCGTCTTGACTATCACGGCTCCGAAGATTCCACATGCAGCATAGAAAAATATTTAATGAACTAAAATTACTATGTAAGTTAAAATATAATGTATGTGTATTTATTGTTGATTTGCAGACTGTAGAAATGAAGTTCATCTATTTATGTATTATTTTTAATAAACTGCATTTTATATTTGTATATTACTTTGCTTATTTTCGCGAAAATAATCGAAAAAAAAAAAAAACATCGGTTGCTTACTGTTACATAAATTTCATAACAGATGGAGAAACTCATGAAAAAATTGCATTCCAAATGCAAAGAGGGTTCACTTCTAACGAGTGTAACTTGTGCTTCCATGGTTAATGGTTTAAACCAGGGATCGGCAACCTTTTGCTCCCGAGCTAGACTTGGCACGCAGAGGGCCTTCTATGGCACACCACGTGAATCGAAGGAGCAAAGAAATAAAGTTAAACAAAATGAGAGGGAGAGAGAGAGAGAATGTGTATCGCATCTCGTTACATTTATCAAGGTTTGAATTTTCGTATGTTTATAAATATTTTTTCTATGATACAGTGAATTAAACGAAAATATTTCGTAGCCGCGATATAGTTTAAGGGTACAATGAGATGTAGACGAGTATGAAGCATATCCAAGTGCTTGGGAAGCCTCCATCACGCTGCGCTGCTGCTTCAGTGACTAGCCACCGTGAGTGACACTCTAGTTATTTTCGCCACGGATTCTACGAAAAAGTAAAGCTTGGTATCCGATGATTGCAGTCATCATGGACAAATAACTTTGGATTTAGGTCACAGAGAAATCTTAAACAAGAACATATTTTTGTAAATGTATTTAGTTGTAAGGACTGTAATCTGTGAGCTAAGTATGCTTAATTTTGGATACTGTGAGACTGAATCAATAAAGTGAATAAAGTTATGCAAATGCATTCGTTTACGTATCATCCTTATACACAGCATGACAGCACGAATGTATAAATGCCTAGAACTGATAAGTATATAGGTTAATAAATAAATGTGAAAGATAACCGACTCTTATATATTTCACACACATATATATGCA